ATTCCATGGCTTAGGGAAACTTTTGATGGATTATGGCTTAGTTCTAGACTTCATGTGCACTTACCACACAAATTGAGGACTTTGATAGTTCATAGCTTAGGAAGGATACTTCATTCTATACCATAGTTTTGATAGATGACTTATGCCAACCTTGGATGGATTATACTTAATTCTTGAATGTGTGAACTTCTTGAAGATATTGTAGTTATCTTGCATTTCTACATATCATGGTTGCATGTATACTTTGTTCCCCAAGTTAATTGCAATTAGGCATGTTTATATGGCTTGTGGTGAAGTCAATTCCCTAGTCTTTTCTCTATTGTTCTATCTCTTTACTTCCTAGCACACTATTGTTTTATGCACTTTGAATTCCTAGTTTAGTGACCATCAAACAAACCCTTATTACCCCTTATCATTCTAAGAACAATTCTAGACACTTAGGTTGCCATAGACTAGCGCAGTCCCAGTGGTTCGACTTACCCGACCAATAGCCCTATTTTACAATGATTCGTGCTATTGCGAAGGTTGATGTTAGTTGATTGACCGATCAATTTTTGGCGCCGTTGCCGGGGACTGCAATCGGTTTAGCGACCAAGGTTCTAGGGTTAATTTTAGTTTGATTGTGAATACTGTGTTTTGTGAATATTTCTTGTGTGGTTTAACCATTTTTGTGTTGTAAGTGAGATTCTAGGAACTCGAAGCTCGCCGTGGGGAATGCTAGCAAATTGTAAGTCTAGAGGACCCCGGGTAAGTCTCTTGACCTTCGAGTTTCGAATTGTGAATATCGTGCATGTGTTAAGCTTAGAAGTAGAAAAATTGCAAGCCCTTGTCGAGGCTATTGCAATTGTGTATTTTCAATTCCAAGCATCGGTCCTTGTCGTGGCCATTTTAATTTTTGTCTTGATAATTGAGGAGAAAGGGAATATCATTGTGTGTGGAGTTGATGATAAAGAATTATTGTGTTGATTATGTTATGTGTTGTTGATGTTTAACTCTTAGATGGAGAATAATTATCTCCCAACTCAATTCTACACACCACATGCGTTTTGTGCTTTTTGCTCTAGTAATTCACATCATACAAGAGATTGTCTTCCAACGAGACAATTCTCGGATTTTTATCTAGAGCAACCAAATGAAAATTTCTTTGAACCGGGTAGTGATCCATACTTCAATGGTTACAACTCGGGTTGGGGAGACCAACAAAACTTCTTGTGGCATGACATAGGAAATTCAACCCCACAATCTCATATGCAACCTTTTCAACCCAATGATCATTCTTTTCCGCCCTCTTCTCCTTTTCCACCGTCTCCATTGGATGAGCTAATTGTTGCTAACAAACAAATGATGGAGTCTATGCACACGCAAATGATGGACTCCAACAATCAACTATTGGCCTCCCTTGCTAGCATGCAATCCACAGTAGAGTCTATCAATCAAGTGGTACCATATCACCAGTCCCAAGTTAGTGCAATGATAGATGACCAAATATCTCAAATTCAACAAAGGATTAATGCTAAAAATCATGAAGAGGAGGAAACATTTTCATTTGAATTTATGGCCAATCCAAAAGAAAATTCTATGAATGATGAGATTACTCCTAGTAACTTTCATCATGAGAATGATCAAGTGGTCATCACATATGAAAATGATGAAATAGTGGTTGAAGATCAAATTGTTGCCACTCATAAAATGGAAGAATTTGTGGTTAAAAATGAGGAAAAAGATGATGAGATTGCATCCTTTAAAACTCTAGAACAACCCCTAAATAATCCTTTGCTTGATGCACCTCCTTCAATGGAGGATCCTCTAAAAGCTTGTTTGGCTCATTTCAATTGTGAGGATTTTAATGTTGACAATTCCATTTCAGAGGTGAATTCTTTGCTTAATATTCATCCACCTATTCATTCTCTTCCTTGGTCAACATCAAATGTATCTCTTTCTTGGGAGCTTGCATCTCATCTCATTCCTTCTCTTGAGTTGTCTCAAGTTGTTGAGCCCGAACCGCCGGATAAGTGTGAGGAGGATGTTGAAATTTTGAAGGATAAGTTGTCGAGCATTCCCGTGCTCAATATGACCCTTCAAAAGCCTTTGCTAGGTGCACTCTCACCTACTCCATCTTCCTATAATCCAAATAAGCCCCATAATCCAAAGTTCTTCATTGAGGATGAAGAGTGGGTTGAGGTCTTTCCGCTACCTCTTTTCCACTTTTGTCTTCAAGCTCTTCCTCCTTCGCTTTTAAAAGAATTATCCTATTTGGGGAAGCTTGAATCTCTTGAGAGACATGGTATAGGGTAAGGAGGACTAACCTGATCTCGGTGTGTCTAGCTATCGAGATTTTTGAGGATTAGTACATGCTCTAACTTCGTCTAGCTATCGACATTAAATTTAGCAAAGCAAGGGAATAAATTCTTTCGATGTTCCAAGCTTCCCTACCTTCTCAAATTGCTCGTGTCTTGAAATTTTCTGGGAAATGGTTTCGAAAAGCCAAAAATTTGATTTTTCTAAAATGGTCTTCAGTTGTGTTCCGCAATTTTAGACCGGCTTCTTAGACCTTCTCAGCCCTAATTTTCATTCCCGAAAATTTCTATCGCTTCCTAGCAATTTCATCGGATCTTGAGAATGCTTCTCATGTGCATATTTTCTCATTTTTAATGCACAAGTTGGAAATTTTCTCAAAATTCTCCATGCATTAGAGAGAAGCTGCAAGGTTTGAAAATTTTCTCAAAATTTTCCATGCATTGGAGATGAAATGCAAAGTTTGAAAATTTTTCATCTAGGCATTAGAAATGTTGAGCAATTTGATAATTTTTCCAAAAATTTTCCATCCATGCAGTGGAATGGACTGAATTTGCAAATTTTAAAATTTTTTCCATGCTTTAGAGATAAAGTGCTAACTTTCAAAAATTTTCCATCCATGCATTGGATTGGAATTCTCTTGCAAGGCTTCAAAAAATTTTCCCTACATTAAAATTGGAATGATGTTGCGATGGAAAAGTTCAAAAATTTCTTCTATGCATGGGAATGCCATGCAAAGCTTCAAAATTTTTCTATGCATAGCTTGAATTTAGGTTGCCGCATGCAAAGTTTAAAACTTTCCCCATGCATTCCATGGGAATGACATGCAAAATTTTTTTGTTTCCAAGTCGCCAACTTGCAAAATTCTTGGAATGATGTTGCAAATGCATCAAAATGCATGAAAATGCATGCAATAGTGCTCACTGTCTTCCATAGAATGAGATTGCAAATGCAAATGCATGGAATGATGTTGCACATGAATCAAATTCCATCCAAAGCATGCAACAGTAACCACTGATAATGTATTTAGATTGCATGCATTCTTTCATCTCCAAGCCACTGACTTTCCATGCATGGACTCCATTTTGAACAGCTTCCATTTCCATGTTGCTCACATTACATATTCCATTGCAATGAATTCATTTTCAAGCCTACTGATCCAATTTCGAGCATTCAAAATCCAAGTTGGAGTGCTCGCTGATGCCCTCCAATTTCAGCCCTTCATTTGCAGCCACTGCCTCATTTTCGAGCCCTCTCAAGTTCCTTTAGAGTGCTCGCAGCCACATCCCAGCAAACCCGAACTCTCTGGCTTCATTTCGAGCAATCTAAACTCCAATTTGGAGTGCTCGACCTTGCTTGAATTTTAAACCCCAAAGCTGCTGAGGCTACTGGTCCCAATTCGAGCACTCTACTTCCATGCTTAGAGTGCTCGACCACTTCTCTCAACCAAGAAACCCAACTCCAACAACCAACATCCCAGCAATCACCTTCTCTCACCTCATGCATCACTCGACCACTTCTCCAACCAAACAACCCACTCCATGCATCCCTCTCACTCCCTATGCCTACCACCACTCACCACCTCACCCGAACCCATCAACAACCCTCATCCTCTCGGCATACCCCCATGCATGCACAACACCATGCATGCATGCAAAATCCAACACCCTTCACCCTCTCGGCACTCCTCCATCCACAACCTTCAACCTCCACATGCATAACCAACCTTCCCACCCTAACCAACCTCATCTCCTCTCTGCACCACCAAACCAATTCTCTCTCATCCACCACACAAACCCTCTTCCTCACTCACTCCCTCTCCCTGTCTCACTGCATCTACTTCGAGCACTCGAAGAACCCATTTTGAGTGCTCGAAATTCTCACCCCATCAAGCATGCCCATCTCTCGGCATCTTGCACCAATCTTTTCCACACTAACCCAACTTCCATGCATCTTGCCTGCACCACCACCCCACACCTCGCAACCGTGCATGCAAGCAACCATGCATATGCTCACCAACTCACCCTCATCTCATCTCAGCAACTTCAACATCACCATCCCAACACCATCCCCAACCCAACCACACTCCATGCAAACCATCTCTCTCTCGGCTTCCTATGTAGCCCATCATGCATGCAAACCCAAGCCTCCTCCAACTAACCAACCTCCCAACCTCACCCCCTCAAGCCACCTCCACTCTCAGCCACCATGCAGCCATGCATGTCACAACCATGCCCCCCCACACCATGCCAACCATCTCCATAACAAACCCACCACACCAACCCAAACCCACCCCTCTCTGCCGATTTCTAGAGCACTCGAACCCAAGTTTCGAGTGCTCGCCATTGCCCGGGCTCTCTCATGCAAACCAACCGAGGCCACTGCCCCCATTTCGAGCACTCGAAAGCACCCTTCGAGTGCTCGAACCAAGCCTCTCTCTCTCCCTTCGATATTTTGGATGTGAATTTGATAACATGTAAACCTTATTGATGAATGGGGAGAGTAATACTAGTTTGAAGTATTATTGAGGTCATCTGATTGTGTATTATCATCTACTATTGCCGTGAATTCGGAATTTGAGCCATGATAGGTTAAAAATGAATTTAAACAGGTTGTGATAGGCCTATTTTTAGGGGAGGTCATGCCGAATTTTTTTTTGGTTTAAAAACTATTAGTTTTGAGTCGTTACAGGACTTGTTCGGTTGGTGTTCCAAATGGACACATTATGCCCATCCCAAATATTTGATACCAAATGCTTATATATATAGCTGCAAAGTATTGAAGAAATATATATATATATATAAAGAAAGGATGTAGCTCTCATATGGCAATACACACTTCATTATTGATTTATTTTAAAGATAAACACACCATAAGGAGCAGAGTAGCTAAGATAAGATAAAAATAAAAAAAATAAAAAATAAAAAATAAAAAATAAAAACAGCAGCAGCAGCAGCAGCAACAGCAACAACTTATCAAATGAGTTCTTGCTTTTTAAGCACGTACACACATGATTAACTTGTTGGAAGCCCTTGAAGCTTGGAGGATCCTATTATTTGACAAACAGGAGTATCACAACAGATCAGTTGATCGATTGATGAATCCATCCAGCTCCTATGTCGTCCTTGAACCTGCTACAAGGAGTGTATATATATATATATATATATATTAATCAAGTTTAGGAAAAAATAAATTCATTTATTTGGGGTTAATTAATAATCAAATAACTCTGAATTTACCTTTAATTTTGCTAACGAGGAAAAAATGTTTGAATGAAAGTCAGAACCAGTGCAAAAGTTGCCGCAAAGAAAGCCACAACAGACCAGGGATTGCTAAAATAGTTGTTCCATAATTGAGCCGTCCAAGTCTTCATCCTGCTATTGTAATGCTTTTGTATTCCATCACTGACATCTTTGGTAGGTCCGCTGAAGGAATGATATCTACCCCCTATGGCCATGGAGTTGAATGCTTTTGCCACTTCTTCATCAGTGCTGTAGAAGTTATGAATGATGTTATGTGTCCGTAGCTCGATCACATCTTCAGCTCCATTTATGAGTGAATTCATAAAATAGATGTAACTACATACATCCATGTCCTCATCTCCAGACAGGGTAGACAACTCATAAGCCATCATATTTAGAAGGCAGTATTTTGTTCCCCAGTCAAATGTGAGTTGAGGAAGTGTGAGCAGTCCGTAGCCAAACCGAGAAGTGAAAGTGAAGTCCGTCAAAGAAAATGTGGTGCTAGGCCTGAAATGTATGCCCCTTGCTTTAAGTTCTGTGGCTGAACGAAATGAGTGATCATAAAGATCCTTGTGTGGATCGCTCTCCTTATGCCCTCTTTTGGGCCAGCAAGGAATAACCTTTTTGAAGGAACAACGTGGACGGGGTTGGTCATCTAATTTACAAGGACCATCGTCTTGGTATATTTTGCCGCTGCTGCTAACTTGTTCATCAGCTGGAGTGTACAGGCCGATAAATCTTCTTCTTAAAAGAGCTAGTAAATGAAGGGGTTGTTCTTTCTCATGCTTATAAGTTCGTTCCGTCCACGTTGCATTGTCATCTATGTACATTGAGGTCATGCAATTTTCGATGGATTCCTCCCATTCGCCTACTGGAGAACTGGTACTGCTAATCAAGGCCTGGAGAACTAGGAAAGGAAGTTGGTTTTCGAGCAGACTGATGTCAGCAACTATCCCACGGAAACCAGCAATGCCTACATGATTAATCAGATCATTGAAAGCGGATCCATGTCTATTCATGAAGGTCAGGAGAAAACAACCATCAAGCAGCATCATACGGGCGAATGTTACGTCGTCATACGCATCTGTTGAGCCCTCAAGGTAGCAGTTTCTAGCATCACTCACCACTTCTAACATCTTATTATAGATTTCACGGGGTTCTACGTTGGTGTAAGCTGCTATGAATGAACGTACCACTATGGTCTTCAACTTTTCGGCTTCTTTCAGCTCAGGATTGCCATGGTGATAGGGACCGATTGAAATGAATATAGGATCAAAAAATCCCTTATTCTGCTCCTTCTCCCGTAATTCTCGTGGAACCTTCTGTAGTGGCTTGTATGAAGATGCATTGGGTGTCTCTTCAAGAATGGATATTATCCACTCATCATTATCATCAGCTGTGAGTTCATCGCCCGATTCATGACTCAATTCAACCTCTACAAAATTAATGCTGCTCAATTCAACATTACTCTTTGCCATTTTTTTTTTCTTTCTTTCCTAAGTTAATTCTTGCAGATCGCTCTATTAATTTCAAAATTCGATCTATCAAATATTTAAAGAAGAAAACTAACAAAGGTTAATTTTAAGTAGATTTTAACACTTATTAATTATAATCTATTGACTTCGTTAATTGAGGAATCTAACTCCATATTATAAACTATGAACTTTTGTCCCACAACAACCATACAACATAATAATATGAAGTATAAACACGTTGCATTCTGTCAATTATACTAGCAATTTCTTGGTCCTACTGCCAGTTGTAGGCGACTTCTAATATATATGCAATTTTAAAGAAGAAGAATAATAATAATAATAATAATAATAATAATAATAATAATAATAAAAGGACCATATATTTTATATAATGAACAAGACTACAATTTTTACCCTATTCATATATTATGTTCAACTTTTGATTAAAAAAAATAAAAATCAACAATGTTCTATAACTAATACTGTTCATCTTTTACCCTATTCATATATTATGTATGTTAACTAAAATTTTCTAAAAAATTTTGTGAAAAAATTGATTGAAAAAAATAATTTTTAATTCACGTTATATTTGATATAATAAGATAATTTGATAACTTTTTTAGATAACATTGCCTCAAATTTATAATGATTTATTTTTTATTCATGAGTTTTTTTATTTTTATTTTAAATATCAAGTATAAAATTCAAAATGCAAATAATTTATTTATTATCCACTAATGTAATGCATGAAAAGTATTTCATCGTATTTTAACATGTTGTGAGTACTTACGAAAAGTGAATTTGAAATATTTTAAATTTTTAGGCTTATTAATTTTGGTAAAAATTAATATATTTTCAGTAAATAAAAATTAGTAACATTTACAAAATAGGTTTTAATTATAAAATATTAGAAGTAGACAGAAAATTTTTATTTTAGTGAAAAAGGCACTAGTGGTAGTTTAGTAATATATCTAAATATATTTGAAAATATTTTTCCATGTAGTACTTCCTTATTTTTTGAGAATTTTATAGGATTTATTTGTTTTTAGAGTTTAAAAATAGGACTGTAGGAATAATGGGTAATTTTTTTAAAAAAACAAAAATCCAACGTCCATACCTTATTAAACAACTAACCTCCACAGGGTAAGCCCTTTTTTCATTTTGTGTTTGTCTTAAATGTCTCACTATTACTCTTATAAAAGAGTGGTAGTGGGACTTAACAAGGTTTGTGACTTAATGATACTTTATTTTTTAAAATAGAAGATCAGGGTTTCAAATTTCGGAGCAACTCAAATAGTTGTGCAAGTGTTTCCTGTCAAGGTAAAAAAGTAAAAAGTAAAAAAAAACACACCTAACAAAAAAGCAAAGAAACGAATGTAAGATTTAGTTGGGTCTAACTCAAGTACCGCCCACAAATTTTATGGGTGAGCAAGATATTTGATATCATGAAATTAAATTTGAGTTTAAATTTTAGAGTTAAAATTTATTTTGAGGAAATTTCAGAAAAATTTTACTAAAGTAACCCAAACAATCCAAAGAATTCAAAATACAAGAAAAGCTTATATCTTTTTCACCACTTGGTCTGACTTTTAAACCATCCGGGAGAAAAAATGATTGAACAAGTGGTCATTATATATAATATAGAGTTGTCTGATTGGATATATATATATATATATATATATATATATATATATATACACATATATATAGGATCTTGTTTATTTATGCATTACCAAGTCGTGTTGATTAATTGCCATCATGATTTACAGAATGCAACTGACAATATTTTATAATGATGCATAATTTTATATATCATGTGGGACACAAAATTCTAACAAAAATTTAAATCGCAAGTTTCTTTCCCCCATGATATATAAAATTATGCATCATAATAAAATTATGCAGCATAATAAAATTTTTGTTAGAATTTTGTGTCCCACATGATATATAAAATTATGCATCATAATAATATATTGTTATAAACAAGTTGCATTCTGTAAATCATGGTGGCAATTTCTTTGGCACAACCCTGTATAATATGTAATCAACACGATTAGAATAAATAAACAAGACCCTATATATATATATATATATATGAGGTAAGTGCAGAATACACTTTTCAAGTATCTTCTGCGTAGCACTAATTTTATCCCTATTTGAAAAAGTGTGTAATAAACAATTCTAATCTTTTGAAATTGTGCAAAATTACCCCCATACAATAAATCTGACATAAATTATTGTTATCTTCAATCATATATTAATATTTATAAACAAATTGTATGCAAAGGTGAAGTTGTTGTTTCTAGTGATTGTTGGCGAGGATGATAATGAAGGTGAAGAGGTGCTGGAATGTGCAGAGATTACCCGACCAGTTCTGTGGCCGTGGCTCTCTCTCATCTCAAGTCGTCACTTCGCATCCATTTCACCCCCGAGTCCAACTTGGACGAGTCAGCCATGGCCGCAGAATGCTCAGAGTTTTGAATGATTCGATCGAATAGCTCACCGCCATCACAATCCATTGTTTATAATGACATTATCGGCAGTGGTGTTGATCGTGTGCCTTGCCGTCAATTTCACATTTTATCGATTGCTTGACCAACAGATCCTTTACCTGAAGACGACGACCTCGGTTGACGCCAAGCTTCTTCATGTTTCGGCCATTCATGTGCCCAAATTGAACGTCTTGAAGTTAAAATATTTCCAATGGTACCATCCTTTTTCAAGTATTCTAGCTATAGAGCAAGTTATGCATATTTTAGTGAAGACCGGTCATAGTGTTCGTTATATTAAAAATGTCTTTATATGAGGAAACCATTCCTCTAGTGTCTCAAACCTTATAAGACGTTTTAAGATGTTTAGTATGACCTCAATGGACATCAATTGACTCACCATTCACGATTATATAAGCCATTTGGCTAACGTGGGTTTTAGCTTCTGCATCTGGACCAGGGTTTCAGGTCAGGTTTGGGATGTATTTGTTCATGCACTAGGTCATTGGGCTTGAGGGCGTGACAGATGATGTGCATGTTACATATATTAAACATGGTGAAACACAGTGGTGAAGCTTCATTTGTTAGAGTTTTGTAGTTTTTTTGGGGTAAAATTGTAATTTACTTTTCATGCTAGAGTTAGAGTATAAATTGCGTAGGGTTTTATAACGAAATTTCTAAAGGGGGAGACTGTGAGAAACTTATGTTTTATTGGCTAATTTTGATGTCAAAGCGTGTCCAATCGAATTATAATTTTTGTTATATTTCGAGTCTTGAGGTCAGAAGAATAACTAGATGCGCAACCATACTTTGATTCGGTGAAAGCATCATTTAGAGAAGGTATGTTAAGTTAAGACACTTCACACTTTTATGTTAGGTTGGATTGAATTTCCACAAGGGTTTTTAATTAAAAATTTGCAATCTGGACAGTCCGACGAGTCATAATTCATGAATGAAGGTAGCTTATCCAATAATTTCAATCTGCTAAAGTCCGACCAGCCACACTATTTCCAACTGGTGCACTTCTGGAATTAAAAAAAGGGAAGTGTTGTTTTAGTTGAATTCAATTGCCTTTTTGATCAGATTTGTGAGAGAAGTGCTTGTATATTTTTGAATTGTATTCCAAGGTAGAAAATAATTCTCTAACATCCATAAATAGTTTGTTTCTCTCTTGAATAATTACGGATTTTAGGATTAATATTTTTGCGATTGAGAGAATTGTTTGATACTATTTTTTCGCAGAAATTTTTCTTGTTTATTTTGTAGAACACGCACTATTATACGAGAGTACATTGGAATGGAGTTCTCTATTTGATTGGAGATCAAACTTTTTGAAGATCCAGTTGATTCCGTTTGAAAGCAAGGTTTTTCTTTTCATTGATTTACGCATTTTTGAAAGAAGAATTCAATCATATTACGAAGGGGACAGAATGTTCGCAGAGCATTCTTGTTCTTGTTCTTCCAGTGACTCTTTTATAAAGATTGAGGAGTTAGCCTGAAGACTAAAGCAGGGGATGATGAGTCACAAGTCCAAGGCATTCAACAACTGGCTCTTGGTGGAGAGGAGAGGGTGTGAGCCTGTGATAGTCTATTGTATAGTGAATTGTTTCGCTCGGGATGACAGTCTCTGTGGTTTTGTTTTCCGAATTGATTTTCACACTAAAATTATGGTGCCACTTTACTTTGTTTAATTACTTTGTGTGTTTGATTTATTTTTCATTTTGAAAAAAAATTAAATAATCTATAATTGGATAAAAAGTAAATTCTACCTATTCAGCCCATCTAAATTTTAAATTTGAAATAAAACTTTTCAGAAGGCAACTCAAAGAAATAAAATAATAGATAATCTAAAAAAAAAAACCCGTAGATATTCTGAGTCTCTTTCTTCCCCGACTTAGTTTATTATATAGTTTTATTTAAGTGTAATTAAAAATCAATAGAATCAACAGTTAAACCTGGACTTTGGTACCACTTTCACACCCTACAAAACAAAAGTTTTTCACATCACTTTCCCTCCGTACAACTTACAGAGGGCACTAGAACAATTGCAAACATTTTATGTCATCACGCTCAAAAAATGTCTTATTGGTGGACCTAAACGAGGAAAAGTGGAAGCAACAAAAAAAGATATTACAAATATTATGCTGAAAATCTTTCATGTTTACATTAATTAATAAAAACAATAATGAAAACAAAAAAAAAATTGGCTTCTATTGGGGGTGGCATTACAACTTGATCGTTATAAAACTATTGCTCAGTTGGCTCTAGATCTATGAGTGCTCTGGTATCTAAATTAAGGCAACCCACATGCCTTTCATTTGACCAGGGAACTTGGATTATATTGGACTGGTTCAGCACATGGGCGGGAGAAAGTATTTGGTGCCTCAAATTAATGCTCCACATGAAGGGATAATTAGTATGAATAATTATTTTTTATTATTAAGAAAAATAATTATTCCTTGATCACAATACTATTATTATACTTCGGACTAGTTCTAAGATCCTCAAAATATATATATATATATATTATTTTTTTCATGG